TCACAGAAAACGTTCTCCTGTACGAGGGGAGTTTGACAATGTAGCACTATAAAGGTTAAACTGCCAGTCTCCAAGTTCAGGGGATTATTTTAAAGAGCAAGTAGCCTAGATGAGGCACTCAGGGAAGGGCAGTCCAGAAAAGGAAGACCGGCACTTGGAGGGCTTGCTGGGCACAGCATAGCTGCTACAGCCCTGGCCGGTGCCAGCACGCTACATAGGCCCACAGCAACACCAGAAATTAATGACTGAACCAGGGGAGAGCACCAGCTGTAGAGAGGATGGCTTCCACAACACTGAAAGATAACCCCACAGGAGGAGTCATGCGAACGCTAACTGCATGGCCACTCCCTTGTATCTGCGCTGCAGAAGTCGCAGAGAGAGCGTAAATGAACGAGACACTCTCTCCTGGAAATACAGTTAAAGATGGACCTGCAGAGCTAACGTGGAGCTGCTCCCTCCAGCTGGCGCAGCATCCTCACAGCCACGCACTCACCCTTCTGCTTATCACAAGCCACACTGCTTCCTAACGCAAGGCTCGCATTCATCGGCTGCTCACAAGCCCTTCTCACCTCGCCGAGAGGCAAGTCATGCTCCGACTCTTTCAGGAAATCAATATCTCGAGATGAAATGATCCCAACCAGCTTGCCTCCCATCTTCCCGTTGTCCGTGATAGGAATCCCACAGAATCCGTGACGAGCTTTTGCTTCAAACACATCTCGCACTCGGTCGTTGGGGCTCAGCACCACGGGGTCTGTGATGAATCCTTGCTCATATTTCTGAAAAGAAGCAGATTCAGCAGCCAGGCTAAGCGGCACCACCAGACCGAGCAGAAGCTGGGCACGTGCCTGGTGGTTGCTGCGGCCGCTCACAAAGGTCTGCAACCACCCAACCTGGCCACATGCTCACCAGCAGGATGACTCCCAAACCAGCACCAAGGCTCACCCAAGTAGCGTTAGATTCCCAAGAGTTCCCAGGCTAACCTCCCTCCTGACATTACAGGGAATATTCCCACACCAGGAGGCCTGGCAGTTCTCAAATCCTAGGCTGCGTGTGGGACAGCGCCTAACACACAACAAGAGGTTTGTGCAGGCAACCACGGCAGCGCTACTGTTCTGAAACACCCAGATCCGGCACACTTTAACGGTCTCCTCTCGCAGCTCCCTCAGTAGGGCCAAACCCCACTGCCCACCTCCACGAACCGCCCTGCG